TACTGTTATAAGGCTTTTTCCAAAAAAAAACTTGATTTTACCACCACTTTCCCCCACCTGACCCGATTCATTCATCGAATTCTATTAAAGATGAAATTCTGGAAGGGGAGTAAATATTAAATACCACTACAAATATTAATTATCAATTCACTAGTATATATAAAACGTGTTAACTTGGTTCTATCTTGAGGTACCTTTTAATAGATGAAGGTTGATATAGTCAATAAACCTACCCCCTCAATGTCTTGTTATTTAATTTTATTAGTTTTCTAATTGTTGTAATCCATATAATTAAATACTAATTAATAAAAGAGCTAGATGCAGCACAAGAAACTCATGGAGGCTGTAGGTTCCCCACTGCTGGTATATAAAATAGTTGAACTGGCTTTCTTGCGTGTGAGAATTATTGTTAATTTAATTGTAAATTGTATTACTCAAATCATGAAATTTTGGGATTGTGGGGTTTCTGCATTTCAGTTTACTCTAACCAGAAATTGAGCCATATATATATGACATCAGCAAAATATAACTAGTATATTTATTCTTTATATAGTATGAAAATAAGAACGACATGAATGTATACATGATTATTGATTGTTTTTCTTATGTGTAGATTTACTGATTATTTTTCTCATTTACTTTAGTTAAGAGAAGTTGCTTTTAATTTCTGCCAAAAAGAACTAGCACCACATGTTTATGAAATTGATAAAAACAATTCATTTCCTCAGTTTAAGGTAAGACTTTTGAATTATTCATAAATTTTTTTGTTAAATCTTATTAATCTTCATATGGCAAGGAGGGCAATTTTTTTCCTTATATTTTCTTGAAAATTGTTTTGCAATAGTTGTCCTTTCTGATATGTATGAGTATTCATAATTTTTTATTATTTCATGAAACATCATTAACGCCATTTATTTGAAGATAAAATGTTCAAAGATTTAGAGCTTTTCTAGATCTTTAATAGATCCTATTTCATGCTTAATTTTTTTATATTTTTGTTTATCTTCCTATTCTATTTAATTACTTCCTTTCACTAAGCATAATGATAATTTTTGGAACAGTAAAAACATAGTTATATATATTACAGGGATGAGATTTCCGCTTTTTTCACTTTATCTCTTAAATTTCAGCTTTTTTTTTTATTTATCATAAATTCAGATTTTCCGCTTTTTCGGGCAGTTGTGGATTACACATAACGAATAATGCTTTTAAACATGGTGAAAATGGGATATGTTCCTTCTAATTTTTATTTTCAGAAAGAATTGTTGCTGCATAACATTTAGAGAAGGTTGTGTAAATTATGGATGAATAATTTCAGAAACGATGTTTAATAGAGGAGAGGAGGGG